AATAAAAAGAAACGTCCAGAAGACCTGACTGAACATTGTTGGATTTTTTTTTTTTGTACCTGGATTATTGAGCATGAACTTTGATGGCTTCAAGGAAAGTTTTACTGTCCAAAATGTCTGCTACATAGTCACAAAGCATTCACTATTTTTGGTGGACGTAACAAGATATCCATTCACCAAAGTTCATGCTCAATAATCCAGGTATAAAATCCAACAATGTTCAGTCAGGTCATCTGGACGGTTTATTTTTTTTTTTTTTGCTGAGACGTTTCTTCCTTCATCCAAAGGACTTCATCAATCTGAGGAGCCATCAACAAACAGAACTGATTCCCACAAACAGCATGCTCTATAGTGGGGAAAAAACAGTTTGCTGGTGCCAAGATGGCCTCTGGGGCCCACCCTCTCCCGTGCCAACTCCTCTGAGACCGTCATGCCAAAGTGGTTCTAAACACCAAAGTTCATGCTCAATAATCCAGATATAAAATCCAACAATGTTCAGTCAGGTCATCTGGACAGTTTCTTTTTTTTTTTTTTTGCTGAGACGATTCGTCCTTCATCCAAAGGACTTCTTTGATCTGAGGAGCCACCAACAAACAAAACTGATTACCACAAACAACAGTGGAAAATACGGGGGACGGGAGAGAGGGTGGGCCCCAATGCAGTCTTGTAAATGAGTTCTGTAGCATCAGCTTCAACCAGAAAGGCATTACATTTTCAGTGTTTCAAATGTCTGTCACTCTTGTCAATATAAATTTATTCAAAACAGACCTGAAGTAGCCAATGATATAAAGCATTATTAAAACTGGTCAAATTTATTTCTTTATCATAATTTCAAACATCCACTTCAAAGGATTAAGTTATCATTGTCAGAGCAGCTATCTGAGTAGAAAGCTGACAAAATCAGGCTTTTTAAAAATGTATTTATCTGACCTTTATTTTACCAGATGAGATGTTTGAGAACTGATTCTCATTTATGACCTGGGATAAAGTGGACTGAGGCGGGCTAAAGGGGGTGAAGGTGGCTCATAAGAGACCTGTTTCAAACTAATTATTCTGGACCTAAAAATTTGGGCATGAAGTGACTAAAGCTGCAAAAATACAACTTGGCTGAGGCAAACATTGACCTGTAGCCTCTCTACAAATTAACAGCTATTCTTAAAGTGACTCCTTTTTGTTTAATCAGACTTCCAATTTGATTTTATCTTTCTGTTGATTAACAATGAATAGCTGTAAAGTAAGTCATTATAGACATTGTAAGCTCACTAGTATTGAGTTTGTTATGAACTGTGTTTGTGTCCTCACAACTGAAAGTCATCTTGGAGACACCTACTGTAATACTAATCAGCACAAAAGCAGTTTGGATGGCTTGCCAGGTGTTTACTTGTCCATCTGTTTTTGCAGTGGGTGCCCATCCTGTCAGACTTTAGACAGAAGGAAACGGTTTGGGGCTTTGTGCCAGGATCTATCAACCAACCACTGGTTCTGCACTTTGGAGACTACAACCTAGATGGATTCCCTGACGCCTTAGTGATCCTTCGCAACACAAGTGACAGGTAAGAACAGAATGGTCTGTGTGAGAAAATATAAGGTACTTTTCTGGCAATCTTTTAAAATATTTGAACATTTAGTGGTGAGATTCTGTATCTTCGAAGGGTAAAGGGTGTCACTATTGTTAAGTTCCTCCAAAATCCCTTTTTATTGTGTTGACAGTTTAGATATTGCTTAAATTAAACAACATTTTACATGATACCTTTTAGGCCACTAAACCCACTGGAGCATACAAAATCCCCTTTAGCATTTTAGCAAGACTTACTTCTTACATGCCATGACAGTGTCTTCATTTCTTACAACTGTTGTTTGCACAATCACTACTCTAGTTTCAGGATATTAATATTGCACAAATCAAAGGTGTCATGCATATTATATATCATCACAGTTTCTTGAACTTTACTATTTGATAACCATGAGTAAATTTGCTGTGTTGTATCTACATTTTAATTAGATTATATTTACATTAGTATATCAAGGAACAAGAAATGAAAAATATTCAAGTCTTATAGTTCAAAATGCATACATAACAGGCTTATGTAAATCTTGTAAGTTTGCCAAATTGAAAATGCTTCTTTTTTGTGTTTCAAAATCCCCCAAATTAAACTGAATGTATTCAGTAAATTACTGTGAAATTACTAATAATATACTAATAATGACGTGAGGTTTTTTTTTTATATGCAGAAATGTCTCTCAGTGTCACTGTCATTTTGGTGTTTTTTATGCTTTTCAGTTCAGTATAGTGTAGTCAAGCTCTTAAGTTTACAATCTATGAGAAATTAAATTGATCCACAACTGGTTGGAACAATCTTATTTGCATGTATGTATGTATGTATGTATGTATGTATGTATGTATGTATGTATG